CTTCCCCGTCTTCTGAGGTCACTATGAGTCGGAACCAATTTGACGGTACATTTGGTTGGCTGAACACTATGTGCTCTGTGTAAGGTAAATGAACAACAAGGGGACTATTTTTAAAGAATTGTGTAAGAGTGTAATTACTTCTAATGATGGCCAAAGCAACAGTTATTAATAAGATTGAATGGCTGATGGAAGGCTAAGCTTACTTAAAATGAGGATCTGGGAAATACACAGGATATAGAGTTAGCAACGAAGCTAAGTATGCTGCTAAGCTCAATTCCTGTTAGGGAGTGATGCAAGCAAGTGTCTGTCATTTAAAGATAGCTCTGTATTCTGTATTCTTACTCCTTTCAAGAAAGATCAGAAAGATTTCTGGCTGTACTGCATTTTTGATCGCTACCCAAACCAAAGCCAAACCACAAACTCACCGAGGAGTGAGCAATTGATACAAAAACATCACAACGTGCACACTGAATTGTTAGGAACCTTTGAAAAGACAATGCATTCTTTTTTCTAGACAGCTACAGATGCATAGAAACTATGAAGATGCTTTTAAAGCAAAGCGATCAGACTGGACATTGGCTAAAGAGAGCCGTGGGCCTATGAACCTCATTGGATGGTATTTTGTACACCAGTGGCTATCAAGCAGATTTCGACTCCTAACAAGCAACCCTACGGGACTGAGCGGAACTGTCTGCACGTCCTTCCATCTTCCCCAGAGCAGCGAGTGGATGAGAACAGACAACCTTTGGCTTAGCACCTGGGCTGCTGAACCATGGTACCACCGGGGCACCCTGCATTTGGCAGAGGCCACTATTAATCATACTCATTCTGTGTTCCCTCTCATAATCTACCTCTCCATCCCCTCGTAATTGGAAGCAACGTGAGGGCAATCACTGGTGTGGCTTCTATTTCTGAACCCCCGGCCCTAGCAAAGAACCTAGAAAACAATAGGCATTAAAAACCCTATCTGTGGACTAAGTGAGTAAATATAAACAAACGAATGCTCTCGTATATGCTGCTGTCACTCACTGCTGTGGGCTCACGACGACGCACAGGGAGGGACCCCAGGTGCGACCGAGGAGAACCGCTCCATTGAGTTTTCGAGGCTGTGGCCTGTTGAAAGCAGATCGCCAGGCCTCATCCCTGAAGAGCTACTGGTGGGTTAGGCACTGCAACCTATAGGCTAGTAGTACCATCCGGGGACTGCCCCTAGCAGTTTAATAGTTTTTGTACAAGGAGAACAATCCCCATGAACGGAGCAGAGAAGACTGGATAAAGCTACTACCGTGCTGAAGCGGTGTCCATTCATCTTTTTGGCTCTTCTGGGTTGTTAACACTTACCAAGTGTATGAATGAACTGGGCGTCTGACGACGAGAAACGAATTCATACACAGACAGGGGCCCATGGGGCAGCACTCTTGGATTTTGACATGTGCCTTTTGATAGGAAGACCGGGAGCTGATCTTTCCTACAAGCAAGGACAACTAAAGATATATAGGTTCCGTCCCAGAACAACCGAAAGCCCTTAACAATTCCTGGGTGTTTAAAATGCCATGCCACCACATCTCTGCAAAGGAGCCGTGAGGATGAAGGGTGATGCTCCTCTGACTCAAGTCTCCAAGGTAAAGTGAACAAAATACACCCTCTCCCTGGACGTTTGTTCATTTTGATAATGAGTTTTCAACCCTCCTCCACCCCCACCTGTCTTCCAAGCTATACAAGATACTAAGACCATATACCCCACTATGCCTTATGTGCTTCCCTGAGTACTGTGAGGATGCAATTGGAATATGGGACAATCAAGGAGGAGCAAGCTTCTTTGGGACTCTGTATCAAGTTAATTACTCTTGAGGAAGGGACTAGTAATATATCATAGGACAACTAGGTGTTATTACCAACCCAACTACTGACGGCACAGCCCTGAGCTCCAAGCACTGAAGAGTTTTTATATGAACACCAATCCTGCCTTCAGTCTCTCTTACTTCCTTTACCACTTGTATTTCTAGTTGAATCTCCAACAGGGGGTGTCTGTGGTCTTTAACAACCATGGCTATCATTTTGTGGGGGGTGGAGTGGGTATGATGGCTTTTCAGGGTTCAATGGGTATAATAAGTGGAGAAACCAAACCCCTCCAAGAACAAGAATTTGCCTGCCAGTGGAACCCATGGAGCCGTTCAAATCAGAGAAAGATGGAGAGGGGGGGATTCCATTTTTAACAAATCCACAGAGGCCATTCAATATACATGAAATGAACAGTCTGTCCCAATATACATGAAATGAACAAGTATATTCTAATATGTCTAGATGCCTGATGAACATGCTCTTTTGGTTTAAATGCTAAATTAAAACATTGATTAAATTAAGGATATTTGTTGTTAAATGAACGTTCCACATAACAAATGATTTCAGACTGTGAAACAGGTACTCTCTCGTTAAATATAAGGATAACATTTCACTTTTAATGGTGTGAATATAAACTTATCCCATAAGTGTGCACAAA